GCCACAGACATTTTCGTTCACTTGTTTTTTAAATAGGAATTATATCATGTTATACATATTATATCATTATCATATGTAACTAAATATCAACGTCTTCCGCTGCACCCTTACAACAAAATTGAACAGATTACCTTTATAAAAATTCACCTATCGCTTTTATCAAATTGTATGTAACAAATCTTGTGTTTCAACTAAGGCCTGGGTTACCCAATTCCTTAATTCTTAATTTTGGTTCCTAATTCTTAATCCTTAAAAACACCAATGTTAAATAAATTGAACTTTTTAAGAATTAAGAATTAAGGACGGATATTAAGAATTAAGGAGTTGGGTAACTCTGGCCTAACTACAAAATGCCTGATTACGCACTACTCATAAACAATACTGTATTTTGCTAGAAGAACTCGAACCTCGAATACTTATAATAAAAATCCCGGAAGCCCGTCCTAAACGTAGGTACCTAAACATGTTTTGCTTATACAATTGAATTCCTCGAATAGCTGGGTAAAATATAAACAAATGAATTCTTAGAATTATTAATAATTTATGAAATATTATAAAACTTGTAGTTTAAGTAAGCATTTTTAAATAATTTTAGTTCTTGGGGTAACTTTAGTTTAGGTACCAGGCCTGCTCACAGACGCATGTGCGCCTCATGCAGGATATATATTTTATATGTTTTATATTTTATATTGTAATATTTCTTACACCTGGAATAAAATTGAATTGAATTGAATTGAAAAAACTGACCGGACTCTCGATGCAATAATTTCATAACACTGAGTCCCTCTCGAATCAGATTGTCCCGCTCACTCTGTAAAGATGCAACACCTTCTCTTCTACATCTATACTTTCACTCAGATAATGATTCCAATTCAATCTATTCATTTGCTCAACATCTCTAGGCCTAAGTGGACTGCAAACTGAACGCAGCGCCCTAGACTGCTCGACCATCCTGACTTTTCAGATGTACCGCCACCCCTGCGTGGCTCTTCTTTCCTAGGACTGACGTCACCGTCACGGGTACTAGAAGAACTAGAGGAACTAGAAGAATGACTACCTATCCTCCCCTTTTTCCGCTGCGGTAATATCCAGAGCCCTCGTTGAACGCTAAGAGTCATTAGATAGAAAGCAACATCCCAATCGTAATCTACAGCCACGCAACCTCTTTTTCCGCAGCGATAATCTTCAATGCCTCCTCTCAAATTGTCCTGTTTGATTCTGGTGACAGCTTTCCGTAATTCTTCCAACAGTTCTTCTTTAGTCTTTGATAATTTTTCCTAAGTATATTAGCTTTTTTTCTTCTTGTCATGACACAGTTCTGATATTTGCTTCGGATATCTCATAGGCCATCTCGAAAGCTTTAATTAACTGCTACTTGATAAATATATGAAATTTTAGGTTGCTATAGCTATTCTAGCATTTCTATTACCGCCGCTGCGTCCGGGTAGGTCAAACAAATTATAGACGGGTTTCAAATTCTTGTAAACTTTCCGTAGCTTTCTGTTGTCTTGTAACCTCAAGCTGATTGATTGATTCCCATGACGACGCTCTAACGCTTCGACAAGCGCACATTGGTTTTATGGAGAGTGCGAGAGTAAGAATCAAACGAGAAGAAGCCATTGACGTCAGCGCTGACAAAGAAGGCACATTTCCTTTTCTCTGGGCCCCTCCCATTTAAAGTGAGACAAACGATAACGCGTGTGGCTTCTTCTCGTTTGATTTTTACTCTACCATCAAGCCTGTAGCCATGTCATTGGAGCTCGCATCATTAGCTATTGCAACAGTCTCGAACTGAGATCTGAGCATCTCCCACGATTCTGTCCGTCTTATGGTGGTGGCTTAACTTTGATAACGGTTGAAAGCGATGCTGAGACATTCCCAAATAGAACACGATGGATTGTTCTAGAAAAATCACTCTGTGGACTTGTTATCGAAGCTTAGTAATAAACTAGCTATTATTTTATCACTCGCGGTTTCCAAAAGAAACACTATAGAAAGTTCTGGGGTTTGTCAGGAAAATCGTTCTAAATCCGGTAAAAAAAGCACTACCTGCTTATTCAAAAAAAGTTCACTGATTGTTCCTACTAATTAGCTCAAACTATTTCAGTATTTAACTTGCCAATTATTTCACTATTCAGTTCCAATTAATGCACCAGTTGTTAATCCTACTTCAGTAGGGATAGACAATTATAACTCGCGCTCGCACGCGCCGCATATCGAATGCATCTTTATCAGCTTGGAAGACGACTCTTGTATTTTACAAGTGGAAGACTATTATTTCCATCTTCCTGTTACAAAAATGCATCGACAACCCTGTTAGGATACTGAAAAATAGGTTACTTCTTTACGTCGGACAGAGCACCTTTTCTGCGAATTGTATTCGATATTTTTCTACATAGATCCCGAGTCTCAAAAGTGCGATTTCGACTATGAATAGCGCGTATAGTAATAAGTTTAGTTCACTTGTAATTCGATATTTCTCGTGTACCTACATATATAAAGTCAATTTGTTTAATTGCTACTGTTTGTGGAGTGAGTTTTACACCCAAATGCACCGGAGGGACTTAATCCAGATTAGTTGCTAAAACCAGATTAGGACGTCTTCTTTATATGCCAGTTTTCGAACTAAGCGAGATTAGACTCTCAAGACCCTACGGTGCATACGTGTGTTAGTAGAGATGGCCCTGAGAATATTCTCCAAAAAACTTCTATCGAGAACAGAGAATTTACCGAGAATATTCTTTGTACTTAAATTCTCGAGAATTTATAATTTTTTTAGGTTCAAGAATGTATGTGAATATACGGTAATTTTCGTGAATTTATGGGAAATTACCACGGAAAACTCGTTCTCCTGGGAACGCTGCTCCCCTGTTTCAAGAAATAATGACCGGGTAAATCCGGTAATGACCCGAGCCCATAGGCGTTTTCGATTGGTATAGATCAGATTTGATGCGCACTGGCGCGACTGAGTGCTGAGTGTATTTCCAGCTCTTTCTCTCAGCCTGTTAAAGAAACAGATAGAAACACAAACACATTTTCTTTGCACTAGAGATTTCTACCAACTGGAAGCGCCAAGCGCCATGGCCGTAAGTTATTCCATTGTTTCTGCACTGTGCGAAGAAATATTTAATAATTTAACTTACATATTTAGGCCCGGTTTAGGTATTCATCTTCAGATAAACTTGCTGGTAACTATCTACAAGATAAATGTACTCTTCTAAGATTCTATTGGTCGGCGGATAACTGGCGGACCAATGAGATTACAGATTGCGTTTTTATCCGTCAGACTGCAAACCTGACAGTTTATCAGGAGATGAATAAACCGGCCCTTAATATTAGTTTTGACTAGTTTTGAGGAAATTCCTTTGAAAATGAAACCTAGAAGTTCGATATGGAAACATTTCAGATAAAATAAGGAAAACAAAATTTCTATGTCAATTTTGTGATTTTAGATACCAAAAAACTGCAAAAAGCCCCAAATTATGTTAAGAAGCTTCGAAATTCTCCAAAATTCTTCAATGTTCCCGAATATTCTCCGAGAAAATTCTCTCAAAATAAATTCTCGAGAATTTGCCATCTCTATGTGTTAGTGAACCCGGAATCCGTGACAATACCATCAAAATAAGCACCAGACTTATGGCGGTTCCGATTGGTAGTTTGAATGCGCCCTAAGTGTATTTGCATCTTTTAAACCGACCTGTAGAAGAAAAAGACAATTCCGCACTAGATCTACCAATCGGAAACGCCATTAGTTTCACCTTGCCGGCTACGAGTTATTTTATTTTTTTGTGCATATATGTGTTGGTAGACGTGGAAGACGCAGTTTGTTGTGGAGACATGTTGGATTGGAAGACGATGCTACGATTTTATATTAGATATCAATTTAATATCTCATGCTCAAAATATAAAGCTGCCGGTGTAGTGAAATCTGTCGCTGCCTGACCGTCAGCTAATGACAGATTTTGCTGACCGATTTGCTCTCTTCGGGGATTTCAACCACTGAAAATTATGACAGTGCTGAGCTCAAAAAATGAAAATTTAGCGACCGGACGATTGCTAGGCATATGGAAAACTTATTTTCCTATTGCAGAAGAAAATAGGTTATTTTTTTCAATTTCTTCTTCATGTCATTTCAACACATTAACCTTATAGAACAATCTAATAATGAAAAACCAAAGCACTGAAAGGGTTGAAATAAGGGCGCGATCTTGTGAAGCAATAGCCAGTTCCATATGCCTAGCAGACGTCCGGTCGCTAAATTTTCATTTTTTGAGCTCAGCAATGACATAATTTTCAGTGGTTGAAATCCCCGAAGAGAGAAAATCGGTCAGCAAAATCTGTCATTAGCTGATGGTCTATAAATCGGGGTGTAAGGTCTATAACATTTAATTTTTTTTTTTTTGATTTGAACTTTTTCAAACTAGAGTCTATGTTTGATTGAATTTTGTGCTTGTGTATTATAATTGAATGTGTTTATACGTCTTCTTGATCTCACAGCACCGTCACAATTTTATTTTTAATAGGTCAAATTCCTAGCATCTCACTTCACTTCAGTAATGTCCTGTATACTTGAGAAAATCTAAAATAGCCAACTATACCTATTAATTTTTTCCCGCAGAAGCAGAGTTCAATTATTGTAAAAAAAAAAAATGGGACCGAAAATAAATACTTTAGGTACACGCCATGGAGGAAGGGTTATTTGAATGAAACACCCTGTTTTTACATGATTTTTGGAAAAGTTGCATTCGTTTATGACTTTTATCTTCTTTCCTTTATCTGAAATGTTTTTTTGATACCATAATAGAATTTTTCACGAAAAAATAGGTACATGTTGGCTGCTTTTGCTTCTCAAGAACATAAAAAAAGTGAAAAATAAACCCCTGTCCAATCCACGTTGAAACTTTTTTCATATCTTTTGTGACTTGAAAAATCAGCCCTGGTAAAACTAGTAGGTGAGTGACTATGTGAAATTTTTTTAAAACAATAAACAAAATAATTACTGTTTGCACATTTGCTGATAACACTTGATACATCGCTGAATCAATCGATCCCTGAAACTATCGGCTTGCATTTCCAAAGCCTTAATCAATTCGCTGCGATTCATATCGTACATTTCCATGGTAATGACGTGTTCGGTCGACAACGGAACACTGTCCATGATCAATTTGTATTTTAAAATTTGCTCCATATAAACCTCCAATTTATGATCGACGCTTAAGAATTGTTCGATTTCTTCTTCGGATTCTCCATTAATTAGTGGCATGTATTCATCAAAATCTTGAACACGCAACTCGGGTCCTATGCGTTGATTTTCCAGCAGGTTTCGGATTTGTTGTTTGTAGTTGTTAACGATTTCTTGTGGAATTGTAGGCTATATCAAATGGAAAAATTGTGTTATTTCAATATCTAAACACCGCATTTAGAGTTTATTTGGTGTCTAACTAGATATTTTGGTGAAATTAACATCAATTCAAAAGAAAAGCTCAAAGTCTTCCTCCACAAATACTTTATTCGTTTTAAAGGACCCTACATATTTCGGAATTGGTAAATTCCATCATCATCAGGGGCAAAAAATAGACTCATATATTAACACGGTTGGATATCATAGGTTGCCAGATCATGCTACAAAAAATTAAAGGAGTTTTGGGTTAAATTTTTGATATCACCCTTGTTTAGCCCTAAGGGTTGTTAGTTAGGTAATAGATAATGTCAAATTTGACTGGAAGTATTTTGGGGCTATGGGCTGGAAGGTTTTAAAATATATATATGTAGTTAGTCGGCAGTGAAAATATAGGTACATGCATGTTTATCATCGACAAAATATAAATGCAAGACTAAGCTTGTTGTTTTTGCTAGAATGGGAGCGCTTATCAGTTATAAGTAAAAATAACCGTGAAACATGATACCCCTGTTTGTTTCCACATTAAACGTCGACGGCATGATGATTCACGAATTTTCCTTATTAACCACTATAGCATCCTGTAATAGGACACATCGAACTTCATACTATGCACTCTAGATGGCGCCACCGATAAAATTATGACGTCGAAAAATTTGGGGTTGGCTTGGGTCAAATCCCGAAATTTCAGATCGAAGGCGCCGCCGATCTAGAGATTTTCCCACGGTATCGAAAAATTTCCCAGGCTCAGGTGCCCCCATTACTACTTAGCTTATTTTTTGCCTCTGATGATGGGATCTACTAATCCCGAAACATGTATACGGCCGTTTAAAACGAATAAAGTATTTGTGAAGGAAGACTTTGAGCTTTTTTTTTTGAAATAAATTTCAACTCCACTTTGAGATATGGACTATTTCTTCAATTTAAAATCAACATTTCAATAACTGCTTATTCCCTAAAAAAAAAATACTTACTTTAAGATACTCAATAGGGTCTGCATAATCCAAATAAAGTTTAGTCTCCAATCTTGGTATATCCTGTACAGCATCAATAATGTAATCAATTTCATGTAACAAAATGTCTCTAACATTTTTGAATTGAGGCTCAAAGGCTAAAACGTTCATCCTTTGCACCAGCTTAATTTGAAAGCCTTTATTAGAAAACTACAATAATTTTAACAAAATTAGTTAACCACTGAAATTAATTAAGTAAAAGCATTCAATTAATCTTACTTTAATGTCAGTGATGTAATATACATAATCATATAACGATTTGAGGCACAACATTTGTAATTGATTGGTCATAATAGTTGCAACTGAATTATAAAAGGACTTCATTTTGCGTGGTTTTGAAGGATCGGGCAATTTATTTCTCTTGGCCCCTTGTAAAAAAACATCAGTCACAGCATAATAGTACTGATCCATAAGAACAGTGCGACATTTTTCTATGCTCTGTCTGCATTGGTTTTTAAATTCATTCAATTCAAAGGCGCCCTGATGTTTCTGAAGCTCTTGCGTATCGATTAGGCGGAGCTTGCGAAAACGGCTAAACCAAATATCAAGCAACACCGACAAACACGGATTAATTGCATGCAAAGTTCTGTGCATTCGAGTTTTGGCGTAATCAAAAGCTGGCCTGAAGCTACTTCCGATTTGTTTGCGTTCTTTTTTAAACGGCGTATGCTCGTCGGTGACTCCTGTGAGAAATGCTGGATCTTGTAAAACAAAATCTATAATAGCTTTTTTGTTGGCCATCATAAAGTCTTCTCTAATATCTGCGACAGTGTTGGTCAAGATGTCACTCCAGACCATCAGTTTTCTTGGCACCAATGAGAGTACTCTATTCAAAACTTTTTCGTCTAAAGGTGCCACGTGAACAGTATCAACGCCATGCTTAACGTAGTAATAATATCGTAACATTTCTTTTTCCTGAGCTGAAGGGATATGGTCAAAGTCCATCGACTCGTCATGGACATTTGTTATGAGATTAACCAGGCGTTGTCTGAATTCTTCTCGTTGTTTTCTTAAAGCCGTATAGGAAGTGAGTTTATTTTTCATTTCTGCAGCTGAAAATAATTCAAGTGAAAAGGTGAAACTTCTAAAAGCAAATTTAAACTTATTATTTTTTGTCATGTGGTGACACAAATCACAAAATCACTTCAACATTATACTGAAAACAGATCCTACGGGCTGTTTTCACTATATCACGTTTGAGACAGAACTCGAACTTAAGGGGTGGTGGTTCAGTGGCGAATTGGGAACAGAAAGAATTCAAAGACAGACCTCGGTTTTATTAGGTATAAATACAGCTGAAATAAATGTTCTAGTAAAATATAGAAAATAATATCAGAAATATAATTTACCTGACACTACGTAAACTATATCCAATAAAGGATTTACACAATATTAATATAGTTTCGACACGAAAAGATGCCAGCCGTAATACACGTGATAATAGGTAATCTTTGAGTGTCGACCTAAATCGAGCCCAATTGTTCCGGTTGTTAATCCGAACAAATCGCCAAAAAAAACTCCAACAAAAACCAAAGAATGTGTACCAGCTTGGGAACCCAGTTGGTACCAGTTCTCGACAATCTGGTGAACCATGAAACATTATGTTTCACGTTGCTCTGTATTTATTTCTAATTAGCAAAAAATGTTCTCTCCGAATAACCCTCGAACATTGATAAATGCTTTCAAAAAAATAACAACTTTCTCAAGCTTGTTGCTTATAGGCAACAGACCTCTACCTATATAGAGCATCGTTCTGTTTCCGAGCAACAAGCAAAATCTGTTAGGCGGGGCGCTCACCGAAATAACGTGGCTTATGAAGTGGCGTGTGATCTAGCAAGTGGCATACAGATTATTAGACAGGGCGCCCACCGAAATAGCGTGGCTTATGATGTGGCGTGTGATCTAGCAAGTAGCACGCATCTAGCATGCTACCTCATATCAAGCGAACATAAACAAATAAGCAAGAACCCAATGAAGTGACAAGGGAAGTGACATGCATTTAGTGGTACGTTACGTAATGCGTATACCATATAATTAACGACCGCCGGCCGGTTAAGTAAAAATAACAGGCCGCTGGCCGTCAAAATAACGGCTGCTGGCCGGGAGAGTGTTATTTTTTTTTGTCAGATTGAAAGATATCTCCAGTATAACGAAATATCTGGGAGTAAACACGGCCGATAATTTCAAATACCAGCCTTGGCTGATTATGATTCTCGGCTATCGCCTCGGATCACACACTTCAGCCCGGCCGTTATTTACTACTTATCGACCTTATAACGTTAATAGCTATTTTTTCAACCAATTATCATTGTCCTTGGGTATTACTACTATTAGTGATAACTAACTGAAACTAATCTCTTTCGCTAGAAGTTTTGTGCTTTCAAGCTGGCTTAGGAAGAAAGTTATGAAGATATTTACCTACGTCTATAAAAAAAATCATAATATAAGTAGTGATCTAGTAGAAATATGATTGCCTATATTTTATTCACTGACGTAATGTTCTGTTTCAAGTTTTGTTAGATATTTTAAATATGTCGCCTTTTACAAAGTGTCTTTTATTTCTATTTATTTTGATTTTTTTAATTTATTTTATTTTATTTTATTTTATTTTATTTTATTTTATTTTATTTTATTTTATTTTATTTTATTTTATTTTATTTTATTTTATTTTATTTTATTTTATTTTATTTTATTTTATTTTATTTTATTTTATTTTATTTTATTTTATTTTATTTTATTCAAGAGTAATTTTGCAGCACACTGGATCTTTTCTTTTCTTATTTAACTTTTACATTAAGTTCGCGTAATTACTAATCCTATTTTTAAGTTTGCTTTGATAATGAGATATGTAATTGTTCTTATATCAATAAAGCTATTTTTGACTTCGACTTTGACTTTGACAATAAACCTGGGCCGCGAAAGCCTCACAAACTTTATCAGGCTCTACGGGGAGGAGATCACTAAACAGTATCATCGACTAGACAAAGTTAGACGACGCAAGGCACACTTATTATCGAATCTAACGTTTCTCTCTCGCTGCCGTGACACTATATCGTAGCAAAGTTCTTGCAGATTAAGCGCTCCTTCAAGACACCCCAAGCACATCGCATCTACTCTAGAACTGAAAAAGCATTTCTCCGAGAGCGAATCCACAAAACAAGGAAGGATCTGGCTGATAGATAACTACTTCATCTACATCTGACGCTCAGCAACAAAATAAAGGAAAAGGATTGGAACAAAATTGATACCATCTCATACCCAAATATGGATAATGAGCTAAACCGGAGTAAAAAAGCTCAAATACGAAAATACGAGAAGTTCTGTGAGAAACAAATCCGAAATTCCCCAGCACCTGACAAATCCAGACTGGTTATCAATCTCACGGATCGAGTCCTTACCGAAGAGAAAACAGGCAAAAGGAGGTAATTTAGCAATCACTCCACAACACTTGCCAACGGAGGAGATTATAGCCAGCACTGAAACAGCCACGAGATGTACGGAAGCGGAAGAAATCCATATTGAGACGGCCAACATTCTACGAAAGGCTCGACCATCAACCAGTAACCTCTCTAAGAAGGAACTAATAGGTTTGTTCGGACTTAGTTCAGAATCAGTTCCGAATTGAACTGCGCTTGATGCGCATGCGCAGATCAATTCAGAACTGATTCTGAACTAAGTCCAAACAAACCTAATGGCAACTGAATTCAGCGAAAGATATGATCATCCTACCTGCGGATAAGGGCAACGCAACTGTCCTGTTAAGAACTGAAGACTACAACCGGAAAATCCAGGAACTCCTTGATCCATCCACCTACCGAAAGCTGAAAAATGATCCCACACAAGTCACACACCGGAATACCAACAAACTGATTAGGTCATCTACCCTAACAGACACGGTTAAGAAAGGCATCATAAAAACAGAAGCAGTCCACCACGACTCTACGGCCTACCCAAAATTCACAAACTGGAAGTCCTGCTAAGACCTATAGTGATTGCACCTGGAGCACTAACGTACAACCTAGCAAAACATCTTGTATCGCTTCTTCAACCGCATGTAGGAAAAACTAGCTCTTACAAGAACTCCACTCACTTTGTCCGGAAAATTAGGAATATTATTCTTCAACCTAACGATATCCTGGTCAGCTTTGATGTCGTGTCCCTATTCACAAAAGTGCCATTGACAGAATCTCTTGACTTGATATCAAGTACCTTCCCCAATGACATAGTTGATCGTTGATCTTTTCCGGACATGTCTCACTGGTAGTTACTTCCTGTGGAACGGCGATTTCTACGAGCAAACGGACGGTGTAGCTATGGGAAGTCCGCTCAGTCCGGTCATAGCCAACTTCATTATGGAGGAATTCGAGAGGAAAGCTATAGAATCTTTTGATCACATACCAACGGTATGGCTTCGATGCGTAGATGATACTTTTGTGGTTTGGAGTCCTGGGGAAGAGAAGCTTAACGCTTAACCAATTCCTAGGCCGCCTGAACGAGCAACATCCTAGCATAGATTTTACCATATGGAAAAGGAGGAAGACCAGGAAATTGCCTTCTTAGATGTGCTCATCAAGAAATCTGGAGAAAAACTAAGTACCCACAGATAGGTACCTGCATGCACTCTCAAACCACCATCCAAGGCAAAAACGTGGAATTAAAACTACGTTAACAGAACTTAGTCGGAACATCTGCGAACCACAATATCTCGAGCAAGAACTTGAAGAACTGGATCATCTCAAATCAGCCTTTCTATCAAATGCATCTGAAATCGACAGGGCCCTACGACCCAAAACTGCCACACGACAAAACATGGATGAACAGCCAGTGGAGGCTAATGCATATTTGCCTTTCATTTCTCGGGTGACAGACAGGATAGGAAAAGTCTTGAAGAAACACAACAGAAAAACAATCTTCAAACTAACAAGGAAAATACAGCAATCAATCAGATTAGCCAAGGATAATAGGTACCCACTGTCAAGCGCTGGAGTCTATCGTATACCATGCACATGTGGTAAGGGTAAGGTATACATAGGAACGATAAAAAAATCCATGGGAAACAGGATGAACGAGCACAAAGAAACTGCAGCCTAGGACAATCGGAAAAATCGGCAGTTGCGGAACATGCGCTTAGTGAAGGGAATCATGAAATACTATTTGGTGAGGTCAAGCTTCTTGCACCGACTTTCGGATACCACAATCGTCTTGTACGTGAAGCTATAGAAATCCACAAACATACCGAGAACTTCAACAAGAAAGATGAAATACTGAAACTTATCCAAATTTGGAACCCGATCCTCAAAAACGCAAAAAAAGATCCCATTGAGTACAGAGAAAGTTGAAATTAGCCACATGCCGCGAAGCCCCGCTCCTCCCCAGCCACAGCCACTCACACATAAATACAACTTACGGTCGGGATTCGGGAACGCGTCAGTCTGCTACCAAAATCGAACATGGAAGTAAATCTGAAGATGCTAGCGAAATGTTAGGAAGAAATTTCAACTTACGACGGCCATTAAGCCCGAATGAAAACCCCTTATCAATAAACCTGGGCCACGAAAGCCTCACAAACTTTATCAAACATGACAATGCCAATGTAAAACCTAAACGTCCAGAATGTGACAATAGTATATCACAATCCGGAACGGAAAATGCTTCATTGCTGGTCAAGAGGTTATATAGTTTATCGAGACGCCTAGCGTCGAGATACACTAAACCTCGAGCCAGCAATGAAGTTTTCTGTCGAGGAATATACATTGCAGTCCCGATAAAATGTCAAAGTACAGAAATGTGACAGTTTCAAGATTTTAAAAAGCCTGTAATTTCAATATTACATATACAGTTGAAAATAAAATTAATTATTTTTCATTGTTTTTCATCAGTAACCTAAATGTAAACAACACGGAGTTTGAAAGTTTGAAAGTTTGAAAGGTGATAACTAAACTATACCTTCCGTGGACCTACAAAAAGCATATGATGCCGTTCCAGTAGAAAACTTATGGACAATGTTAGAACAAACTAGTAAAAGCAATAAAATACACAGGATCAAAGCAGTAGCTTTATTTATTGCAGAGGCAATGGGCACGCCGGTAATTGAAAAATATTCAAGAAAGGGGATAAAAAGCGCGACGCGCCTTCTATTGGGCTTTATTTTCTGACGCCACTCTTATGGCTGTTTCCGCCAACTATTTCAGGGAAGACTTAACGATAAGTATTCCTTAAACTGACATTTCTCCACGGAAGATCATCATAATCACTTATGGCCATTTCCACCAACTATTTTAGGAAAGCCATAATGAAGAAATGTCAGTTTGAGGAATATTTATCGTTAAGGCTTCCCTAATAGTTGGTGGAAACGGCTATAAGTGATTATGAGGATCTTCCATGGAGAAATGTCAGTTTAAGGAATACTTATCGTTAAGGCGGTTAAAGGGGGTGTGACCCTAAAAAACGACTTAAGCTACTTAATTCAAGAAAAAAATTCTAAGACCTCTCGTGAAAACCACAGTTCTATATTCGGATAATAATCTCCGAGAAAATTCCTTGTGAAGATAAATTATGCAGGAACTTGTGATGTCACAACCGCCGAAATCGCAGTCTTCTGTTCGTTCAGTCGTCAGTGAACCGTACCTTATACTTTGAGTCGTTGCAATGGCAGCAAATATCCAGTTAAGTTCCCCAAAATTTTGTAGAGGGCGTGAGTGAACTTGGAGCGTTTCAAATTTTGGCGGTAAATGTCAATAGTTTTAAACCGCTTAAATTGAGTAGAAGGAAAGATGAATACATCTAAACAATGGAAAATGAATAAGTTAAAATATCTTCCAAAACGTTCTGTGGCCCTTAGAGAATATTTTTAAAAGTGTCAGCGTCAGCCTGTCTTGAAACCCCACATCAAACTCAACTTTTGAAGTTAAAATTACAATCTATTATTTACGCGTCAAAATTTGCAAAGCTCCAAGTACCGAAGCGGCCTCTTCAACTCAACTGTCAATATTACATGCCATTCGCTCTAGGAGATAATTGTCTTTTGTTTTGGGAAATTTTTATACGTGTTAATACTGTCCCTGATAATCCAGTGTGACGTCACAAACACCTAGTTTTACCTTTAAACCGCTTTAACTCGAAAACGGACCATCGTAGCAAGATGCGGTTTGGTGTAAATATTTAATCTTAGATTTTTTTGCACTAAAACTTTAATTTTTGGGTCACAGTCCCTTCAAGGGGGCGTTAGTGAGAGAACTTCAGATTTCAAATCTGCCAGTTCCGTGCTCTGACTGAGGTACACATGATATATTTTTCATTTTGAGAAAAACGTCGGTTACTCGATTAGTCAATTATTGGTCCAACTGGCTAACTGTAGACGTTTGTTAATTGAGTGAACTGATCGTTTGGTTAAACAAATACAGATTTATTCCGAATAATCCGTATAACTCAAAAATTTTAAGCGATGATTGGGTCATCTTGACAGATAAGCAATGCATTTAAGTTCAGTTAAGAAGGTCAATTGGTTGACAAATGACGCTCAATTGATGGTTTATCTGTCAAGATGACCGATCGGTCAATCGCTTAAAATTGGCTACTGTTTGAAGTGATTTGTTTCGATTTTGTCCGTTTGATGCCACCACTACTACTGTCTAGATCATATCAGAAAGGTATAGGTACCTACTGGTACTTACCCCGTTTTTTTTCAGCAGCAAGTTTCCTGCGATATTTAGGATGAGCCGAAGCCAAAATGGGTTTTAAAATTTCAGGCGGTAAGGAAAAAACCGACCTATCCTGAAAACTGTAAGCGGACGGCAACTCAAGTCGGGGGATTTTGATATTTAGGTCTGTCCTGGCTTCGAGCTTGGCTCGTTTTTCCGCTATTTTTTTCAACAACCGATCTCTTTCCACGTCTTTCCCAGACATTTTGGTAATGAGAATTGATCCTGAAAGTATTATCATTATTTTATTGTCCTAAATCCTGGGTGTATCCTTTTTGATCCTGTCCTACTACTACGGCTCAATAACCGCATGCACAATGCGTCGATAAAGTCCGTCGATTTTAATCTGATATTCCAAAGGAATGTGAGCTGGTGGCTCCCTACATAAGAACGTCAATGGTCACCTGACGTCACACCTGTTTTTGCCATAAGCTTCACCCTCTCGCTCCTCACAGTGTCAGATTAAAAACGACGGATAATAATATAGTCCACCACATACCATTTTAAAGTCACGTGATTTTTCTCCATCCTTGTTGAATACATCTCAAACAGCGGTGATAGTAAAATTGACAAAAAAATTGCTGTCTAATTATTGTTCATAAAATTCTTACCTGAAATAGAATCCGTCACTGTCATCAATTAGTTTGTCAAAGTTATTTTAGAAAATGATACAACGAACAAACACAGCTAATAATTTTGACTAAATCACCCTTTTTCCAACTCAAAAAGATGCAAATAGAAAACGGGTACCCAATTCAAGTTCAGAATGTATTACAAGGGGCAGCAGAAGCGACAAAAAAGTTAAAATTCTCATCTGATTGGTCAATACTACTTCAGAAACGCGTTTGTAAAATGCTAGTGGGAACATATCTTAAAATTCAATAGTAATTAACCCCAAGTAGCTTTTTGTAGGTGATATCAACGACATAATCAACGAACATACGTTTTTTACCACCAATATCACGTGACTTTAAAATGGTATTAGTCGGACTTTACTAAATAGTGATTAAAAAGTTTTTCTTTAATTAGGTAATTTGAGAATTCTCTCGTAAGTTTTTATAATAGAGAAAACTAACATTTTTCAAATGATGTTTTCTTCTTATTCCTCACGTTTTCAAACATAAGATAGGAGATATACAGGGTGTCCCAGGTAAAAGTAACTGCATAGGGATTTCGGAAACGGTAAGAGATACAATTTTGGTCAAGTTGCGCTATTCCGAGCCTAATCAGAAGCTGTATTGAAATTGAAACCATCTACAGTTACAAAGCTTCAAAGCTATGATAACAAAACACAATTACGGCATTTGTTTTACAACCAACTAAGTGAAAATCTGTTTTTTTAGTAAATTCACATTTTCCGTCATCCAAAGATAGGCCTCTTGAAAGTTGTAGGTACCTACATGGTTACGAGATTAAACTTCCAAGTCCATACGGTGAATACGGGTGTTAATGACGTAAAAAAACAATACGGCGGCCATAAGAAGTAACAAAGGCTTCGAAAAAATTTGTTAACGTCATTTGATTGCACATAGTCGCTAAAACTACCGAATTTTAATTAATTTATTTACAAAATGGTGAGAATAGGTATTTCAATTTTTCGAAAAAACATTTTTCAGTTTTTGCTCGATATTTTGAAGACCCCTGTAGATATTTCCAATTTCGATGCAGCATCTGATTGTGTTTGGAATACCTAGCGTAACTTTTTTCCCATTTAACCAAAATTGTATCTCTTACCGTTTTCGAAATTCCTATAGCCCTTTTCACGTGGCTCCGGTTTAACAAACCGTAACAAACCGCAACATACCGCTCAAATTCGAGTGGTATCGAAGATGTCACTTTGTAAGCGGGTTAGAAAACGATATTTCATTTCTCTAACCGCCTCGGCGATATGGTTACGTCGAGCGGTTAGAGGAAAAATATATATACAACGGAGAGCGGGAAAGTTCGGAAATGTGTAAAAACTAAATAAAAAGTTGTGTATTGTATATATTATCATATTTCATGAATTTGAAACCCGAAAGCCGTTTTCCCTTGTATACAGCCTGATTTACGTAGACCGTGCATTAGAAATTGTTCAGTTTGCAGGTCTATCCACCCATGGTCCACATCTTAAGCATTGAACGAAAAGAAATTAAACTACCTACTTTTCACTTTTTAGCTTGCTGTAATAAAAAGGAATGAAATACTGGATAATTCCACAATTTTGAAAAAAAAATCTTGCTTCCCATATTTCTTCACAAATTAATTAATTGTGAATTGCTCACATTTAAGATATGTTTGTCCGTAGTAGACATAATAGGTAGGTCAGATTTAACGGCACTGGCGAAAATATTGAAAAATCACAAAATTAAAAACACAAAACTAACCGTTCGTTTTCAAGTGGCTTTTTCAGTGATGTTATCACTTGACATCGGCCCCTAACCGTTTTGTAACCGGGTTAGTTTAAACCGGAGCGACGTGAAAAGGTGTTATGTAGTTACTTTTATGTGGGACACCCTACCCTGTATATGCTTTTCTTTGCGTTCTCATTAAAATTTTAAGAAAATACTTAATTTCAAATTATGTATCATTGGCGCGAAAACGATGTAAATACATTCAACGTTAAAAACCAAGGATAATACACACTAATACTACAGGATAGCCTATCCTCTTAAGGCCCGTGTAGTTCAAGTTTCAAGCCCCCACCATTCATGCCAAAGCACCAGTGATGACGTAGGCAGCGTGTCGTTTTTCGCCTTGATATAGGATAGTTGGTATTTGCACCACAGGTTATGACTCCGCGGGCTTTTCCTTTATGCATACTTGGTTTTGGTTTTACCACATTCTGAAAGTTCTAAAACAACTTAGATCTCGTTTGCCTCTTTGCCTATTATGTTAAACAAAATTAAATAATATTTTTCATCATAAATGAGCTACGACCGCTAACGCAAACAGCTGACGACCTAGTTAATGACGACGACAATGGTGCTACACCAGTCATTGGGCCGCGATTACTAAGCCTGCCATACGTCCCGTATTATACGGGACAGTCCCTTATTTCAAGGTCCATGTCCCGCGTCCCCAACTTTGTTGTGGGGACGCGTAAATGTCTCGTATTCTCTGATATTTTGAAAAGCGTAAAATAATTCGATTTCTGCGACTCATTCCCAGTATGCAGTAGTTAGACCTGCGGTGACATAAATAAATCGATTTTTGCGCCTCATCTCAAGTCTCAGCAAATCGCAACGTGGTGGTTATTCGACAGCATTTAGGTATGTTTTCGCTTGTGCGTCTGGCGCTTGCGTCGGGCAGCAGCCGCTAGATGCAGCGGCTGCCTGTGCAGTTGGATGTTTTCATTTGCTGCGTTGCGCAGCAATACATTTTGATTGTCGTACTATAATTCTTCAGGATGAAGAGGAAACGTTTATTGATGGTCCTTCTAATAGAACAGGAAGAAGAAGAGTACCTTAGGGCTTTGACAAGAAAATCTACAAAAACTCACGAACTTTTCAAAAGACGACATACAGAAGGATTTCATAATATTTTAATTGAAAACCACTTAAATTTGGATGAGACTAAGTTTGGGGCTTTCATCAGATTTTTTGCACTAAACTATAAGAACAAAACTCTCAACCGCAGAGCGGCTGCCGCCAGACTGACACACGGCTCAGTCGCGACGCAGGCGCTTCTTGCCGTCGGATGTCTGGCGGTACCGCTGAGACGCATAAGCGAAAACGGTTATGATAAAACGCATTGGATCAGTAGGCTGCCGCCGGCGGCTGCTGCCCGACGCAACCGCCAGACGCACCAGCGAAAACATACCTTTTGACATTTAATTGCTGCCATATTGGTATATCACCATTGCCCACGTCATCAACTAAGTCGTCAGCGACGTCAGCTGTTTGCGCCAGCAGTCGTAGTTTAGAATTTAAATTCATGATGAAAAATTTTATTTAACTTTGATTGACAAGCAATTAGGAAGATGTAAACGAGATCCAAAAATAGTTGTTTTAGAATGTTAATGAATGTAGTAAAACAAGTAAGTATGCATAAAGCAAAAGCCCGCGGAATCATAACCTATGGTGCAAACAGCCTACGTCAAGGCGAGAAACGACATGCTGCCTACGTTACAAATGATGATTTGGTGGGGTGGGGAGCTTTAGATGTGTTCTACATAGGCCTTATGAGGATAGGCTATCCTATAGTAGTAGTGTGTATTATACGTGGGTTCGGACTACGGACGTGGTCTCGAAAAAAAAAAATTGTCTGCGGCGCTATTTTTTTTTATAAATCTATGAATATGAAACAACTCTGCTTCATAAAAATGTCCCGTTTTTTTATCAGAATAATATGGTAGGCTTAGCGATTACCAAAAAATACAGTGGCTTAAATGAACCTTTACATACAGTGGCCATGGCGACAATAGAGGTCCCGCCGCCATTTTGTGATTTGAATAAACATCCATCATAAAAAATTTAGAACAACGTATTTGATGTGCCTAATAAGTAATTATAGTACACAGAACATATCACCTATAGAAAAATATCTCAAATGGAAGAATCGCGACAAAGGTTTTTAGTTAGGTTTTCATTCAACGATGGCGACACTGTCGGGAGATAAGAGAAATTTACAGGTATCTTTGACGTGGACAGAGATTTGTGTTGGTTGGTTTTGTCATTTATTTTGTCATTTTAAAAGTCAAAATTTGAATTTTTAAATTGTGTTGTTGTACCCCACGGTTTCTACGCGCGTTAAAGTGAAAATTCAAAAAGTTTTGGTTGAAAAAAAACCTAATTTTTGTTCGTATTTTTTTGTATTTATTCGTTTGTTTCGTTTCGTTCGTATTTGTATTTATTATTCGTATTTACTTTGCGATCTACCTATAACTGCGTGACTCTTGCTAACTTACTAACTCTTTTTGCACTATGTTCGACATCGGAAACTTCCTGCCAGACATAGTTTTTAAAAAAGTGAGGCGAGAAGAGCTAAGAGGAGTCAGCAAGCCAAATGCAGTTGAACATTAAAAATTATACAAAAATAATAAAAATATATGAAAAAAATCAATTCGCCTTTTTGTCAAGAATACTCGATTAGTTGGGTTTTCAGTCAACGAGGGCGCCGTAATTCATAACCGGTACATACCATTGCAGATACTTTTCTAGAGGTGATATGTTCTGTGTTATAGTAATCGGATACGTTGTTTTCAATTTTTTATGTCATACCAATACATTATTGTGTTTTCATACCTTAGATACCATCTACATAATTCATTACTTTATGCCCGTGCGGGCATAAAGTACACATTATGGCCGGCGCGGGCATAAAGACGCAAAAAACAGTTTTCAACTAACTTATTCTTTATTAACAAAATATAAATTTACGCTTATAAACATATTATTTTTGTCAAAAAATGATGCTTCTGTACACTGATGACAATTTGAGGAGTGACACTTTTTTCCCAGGTATTTATTATTCACAACCAATTGGTATGACATAAAAGTTTGTATGCATCACGGGTACTAATAGATATATATACCCTCGGGCGACTTACGAACCCTCGGGCCAGAGGCCCTCGGCTTTGTAAGACTGTCGCCCTCAGGGCATAATCATCTACTTTACCCTTGATACATAAATAACTATTATGATGGGTCTCAATTTAAATTCCATTCATATTTAAAAGTAGTAAGAAGTTGGGCACAAAATGGCGGGGTTTTCCATATGAATACAGGGTGTCTCACGGTGGATGGCGTATTAGACGTTTATGGAGAACTAAAAAGCGGATCATTTTGAAAATTTGGCAACCGGGATAAACGACCATGATCTACACTTTAAAAATATTTTTGACCATGCGGTGTTGCCGCTTCTACTCTAAACAAGTGGCAACATCACTATTTTAAATGGAACACCCCGTATTAAATTACATATTTGGATTCTACGTAAAATTCTGAGCAGATTTCATGTGATATACCCTATACCCAAGCCCTATACCTAAGTTCAACTCTTTTGGAAATATTGACACTTGAAAATTGACTTTTTGCAACTTTGACAGGCTGTAAAACCTAATTGGTTAATTTTAGAGGAAAACCGATTTCACATTCCTGTCTTAGATTTTGATAAACTATCATTTGACACCAACTTTGAACTTAACCGGAGATAAAATTTAACTGAAATTTTTAATCATGGATTTAATTCAAAGATGGTGTCAAATGATAGTTTATAAAAATCTAAGATAGGAATGTAAAATCGGTTTTCCTCTAAAATTAACCGTTCAGGTTCTACAGCCTGTCAAAGTTGCAAAAAGTCAATTTTCAACTGTCAATATTTCCAAAACAGTTGAACTTAGGTATAGGGTATATCACATGAAATCTGCTCAGAATTTTACGTAGAATCCAAATATGCAATTTAATATGGGGTTTTCCATTTAAAATAGTGATGTTGCCACTAGTTTAGAGTAGAAGCGGCAACACCGCATGGTCAAAAATATTTTTAAAGTGTAGATCATGGTCGTTTATCCCGGTTGCCAAATTTTCAAAATGATCCGCTTTTTAGTTCTCCATAAACGTCTAATACGCCATCCACCGTGGGACACCCTGTATATGTATAGGATTTTAAAGAACCAATCAAAAAGAAGACTGCAATTGTCGCCACTGTGGTAATAGAGTCGCTGTACCACAAACGAGGCCGATAAGCAATCCTGTAATAATGTGTATTATCCTTGCTATAATCCATAGTTTGAGATTCTTCTTTTTTTAAATAAATAATGGCATTAACAACAAACACAAAAATCTATCAAAATGTCAAGTCAAATTCAAACATCCAAATAACAATTTGTGAGGTTAGAGGTTAGAAAAACGAAAAATTCCTAATTTCCAATTATTTTTTGAATTTCCTCTTTAAAACGAACAAAAAACCAAAGAAAAATGGTAAGTGAACTATCAAGAAAGTTACTTACCTTATCCAAAGCTTATTTCCTAGTAAAACCTTCGTTTAAATACAACTTTTGCAGTATTTTTCATACATAATCACCTGCAAACTTCAAATATTATAATCAAACCATGGCAACCACTTTAGCTGGTATGTCCTTTGCCTATTGATTTTAATAATTAAAGGTACCTCATTTTTAGCAGCTCATCCTACGTAACATCCCCAGGTTTTTTCACACTTCAACACCAAAAGCTCTAGCAGCAGAAAAGTCGGCTTTAGGCACACTCCGAAAAAAAACTGGCTACACATTTACCAATTGTAAAAAGGCATTGGAAATGCACAGCAACGACATAGAAAAGGTATGAACTAGAACTACTGACCCCCCAGTTAATTTGTTTAATCAATAATTTAATTTCAGGCTGAAGAATGGCTGAAACAACAAGCTCAAGCTTTAGGTTGGTCAAAAGCAACAAAATTGGAAGGCAGACAAACTACACAAGGTCTCATAGGTGTTGCTATTGATAATAATAACGGGGTTTTAGTCGAAATTAATTGTGAAACAGATTTTGTTGCTAGAAATGTGGAATTTGAAAATATGGTCAAAGAAGCGGCTGAAAGTTGTTTGAATTATCTAAAAAACACACAAAAATCTGGTAACTCTATAACAAAAGTTGGTTTAGATGCTGATCAATTGAAAACTTTGAAAGCTAGTGATGGGAAAAGTTTGGCAGATAAATTGGCGCTTATGATTGGAACTGTTGGAGAAAATGCCTCATTGAAAAGAGCCATAGGAATTAGGGTTAATAACGGGATTTATTTAACAGGTAGTTTCATTTCAAAAACAAAATCGTCAAGTTCTTATCTTTGTTGTTCCAGGTTACGCTCATCCATCAGGAAAAGCCACCAGTAACATACTCTTAGGCAGGATAGGAAGTCTTCTGGCCATAAAAAATTTAAATCCTGAAAATCCCAAAATAGAGGAATTGGCAAAAGGTATTTGTCAGCACGTAGTTGGGTTAGCTCCCAAAGCTATTGGCCACATAGATGCTAAGCCAGCAGAAAATAAAGAGGAAGAAACAAATTTGATTCATCAAGAATATTTACTGGATGACAGTTTGACTGTTAAGGAATTACTTGAGGAGAATCAATTGGAAGTAGTTGATTTTAGGAGGTTTGAATGTGGAGAAAATGTTGAAATAAACCAGTGAATTGACAAATTGAATTGGCTTAGCTAGTGGAAACAGTTCGATTGAGACAAGCCATCATATAGGTACTCGAAAACTGTTTTGTAAATATTATGGCATTTATTCTGTTTTTAAATAAAATGTTTGTACATGAGAAATTACCAAGGAAAGTACATTTTCCAGTTTTCCATTTTCAACCGTTTTCTATCCTTAGGATATAGGCCTCTTTCAAATTTGACCATTGTCTTCGGTTTTGCGCAACTCTGTACCAATTCAAGCCTGCAACCCTCTTTATATCGTCGTACCATCTTTGTTGGGGTCTTCCAACACTTCTCCTCTCTTCCCAAGGTCTCCATCTAGTGATATACCCGCTCCAGTTTTCTGTATGTCTGGCCACGTGTCCTGCCCATTGCCATTTTAGGGAACCAATTCTTTTTATTATGTCGAAGACTTTGGTTCTTTCCCTTATTGACATGCTTTATTAAGGTATACATTTACAATACAAATATACTACTTATTATATTAGGTATCTAAATGGTAAATGGTTTTATATATAACAGCACCTAGATGCAGAACATCTGTATGTGCTTCTAACTTACTTCATATATATATATGTTATTTCCATAGGAATTCAAATTTTTTCGAATGCTGAGAATTTAAGTATGTACGTTATTGTCATCAAATCAAAGCAGTTTTTCAAACAAAATCCGATTTGTCGGATGCCTTCGATCTTTTTGAAAACAGTTTTGGTTTTACAACATTCTTCACCTCAGTGGGTAATAGGTTGTAAACCTTTGGACCCATGAAACCAATTGAGCGTCTATAAAATTCGCTTTTACATTCCGGAATCCTCAAAAGCTGATTTATGCGAAAGCGGGTGTTTTGATTATGTAACACAATAGGCTGCATCTTGCGGTGTTTATGAATGTAACAACTAACTGAGTGGAAGAATAGAGTTCTCAAATTTACTATTTCCTCAGTATATAGCATATTTGTGGGATACAGATGATCTTTTTTATAAATTATTTTTAAAATTTTATTTTGAACAATTTGTAGCAGCCTCAGCGCATTTTCATACATCGAACCCCAGATCGTGATACCATATGCGAACAAATCCATGCATTTGTTTTGTGGTCTCTCAGGGGAATTCCTAAAATTCGTCTTTCAATGGCTCTCTGATGTACTTCCAATTTGTGTTTAATTCTTCTGGTTATCATCCAGAACTCGCAGCCATACAGGCAGTATACACTCGTTATAGACTTTTGATTTTAAAGTCATTGGAATATTTATGCTGAAGATGTACTTTAACTTGCCGTAAGCCGCCCATCCCAGTCTAATTCTCCTATCAATTTCCATTTCTTGATTTTGTTTGCCTGGTGTTATAGCTTGGCCAAGGTATATGTATGTTTCTGTCTTTTTTATTGTGCTGTCATGGATCGGTATTGTTTCGTCTGCATCTGGTGTATTTGTAATAAACTGGGTCTTTGTGTAGTTCATGTGTAATCCTACTTTTGCCGCCTCATCTTGTAGTTCTTCCAACATATCTATCAATTCCTGTTTGTCTTTCGCGAACAGTACAATATCGTCGGCAAATCTTAGATTGTGCAGGCCAGTTTTATGGTTCTAGTATTCCTGAATTTCATCAGCATCTCTGTTGGTGAATCGTGATATAATCTCTTGTTTTACTTATAAAAAAGATTCGTGGTGTTCCAGTTTCAACTTGCTTACAGACTCTGGAGGATTTCTAATGGTATCGCTTTTAAAATTAGCAGAAATTAGGTAATGGAGTTGAATTCTCGGTTAAATTTCAGTTTCTGAATGAACACAAAACACAAAGAAGAAGTAATGTTAACACTAGAACATTTCATTGAAATTCAAAATGCTATTGCAACAGTTAGATGATGTAGCTTAGACTACTGTACCTGATAACAATTGGATAGAAGGCTCTATGCACCATCTATGTCAATCCAGGCATACCCGCCCAAACATCTGTTTCTCATTTCCTTGTCTACTCTACTTCTTGTGCTCCTTGGTCTGCCACTAGATGATTTACTTGGTTCTTCTCATAACTGCTAACAAATCTGGGAGCACATTCTCAAGCTCTTTTTTTGAGAAAATAACCATGGCGAAGACAAATCACAGCTAACTTGATGTGTTTAGAAAATACAGGGCAATTTTCAAATTTTGTCCAATTTTAAGGGGTCTTCTAATTTCTTTATTAATTAAGATAGGTATCCGGAAACGAAAAATACTTTCTATAGGCAGTTTTTCAAGTAGAATACAATGGCATGGTCATTTTTTTTCCAGATGCTACTGATTTTAGAATATTAACTAAAGTTGTGTTTTTTCAAATGGGACACTCCGTATATTATTTTTTCATTGCATAGCTCTTTTTGAGCTGATTTCAATGATATATGGTTTTGTAGCTTTATCTTCAATAGTTTTGGAGAAAAAATAAATAAATTCCGTTTTTCCATAAGAAACAATGAGTTAGAAAGAGATAGTTGAACTATGAATCGGCTACAAATTTCTTGATTTTTAATTTAATTTTTCAGTTCAGTTAATTTTTTTTAATTCGAACTATGAATTGGGGGTGATAAATTAGCAACACATAATTTATTTAATGATTTATCTCTTTCTAGCTCATTATTTCTTATGGAGTAACCGAATTTATTTTTTTTTCTCAAAAACTATTGAAGGTAAAGCTATAAAACCTTGTATCATTGGGTGCATTCAGGCGGTGCCAGCGGCTTAGTTCAGCTACTCAGCAGGAACTTTATTCTCGAAACAGGGGACCAGCGTTCTCATTGGAACGAAGGTTCTGTCTTTGACGTTCGGCATAACACTGACAATGACAGAGCAATCGTTCTTATGAGAACGCTGTTCGTTGGTTTCGAGAATAAAGTCCCTGCTGAGTGGCTGAGCTTAGCCGCTGGGACCGCCTGAATGTACCCATTGAAATCAGCTTAAAAAGAGCTAGGCAATGAAAAAATAATATACAGGGTGTCCCATTTGAAAAAATACAACTTTGGTTAATATTCTAAAATGCTCTAAAAAAATACCTATAGAAATTATTTTTCGTTTTTGGATATCTTGATTAATAACGAAAATAGAAGGTTTTTTAAAATTGGACAAAATTGGAAAAGTGCCCTGTATTTTCCAAACGCATCAAGTTAGCCGTGATTCGTCTTCGCCATTGTTATTTTCTCAAAAAAAGAGCTCGAGAATGTGCTCCCAGATTTTTGATATCTCTGCTGGTTTTTGATATACCCCATTGAAACATCGAAAATGGACCACCATGTAGGTACAGTCAAAATTACATCTCTAAGATTGTTCATAGAAATTTCGCCATTTTCTTCCATGGTGTTTCCTTTTGTCTACAAAATAGTAACATCGGCAAGGGCTGCAATATGAAGCAATAGGTACTATATTGTTTTAGTACTTAAGTAGGTACAGGGTGTTTTTTTATGTATTGACAGCCCACCTACAGAACCTTCACCTTTATAGGTAGAAGAAAGGTGTGAATACAAAAGTTGTACATAAAGTCTGTTTTTTCTTTAAAGATAATTCCCTAAGTCAAAAATTTAGTAACTATGTTGGCAGCACAAGCCTTTTCTACATAAAAAAATTAAGAGCATTGACAATTTTACATTGTATTGCCAACAGAATGTCATTTTGACTTTTATCTTAAAAAAAAAAAACAGATTTTATAGTTTTAGCTAAATTTTTTGAATCCATCGTCAAAAACAAAAATTGAATGTCAGAAATGTGAAATGTTGCATGCCTTCAGCTTTTTCCAAATGGTATGCCCTATATTTGGTTCTATATTCTTGAAGTGCACAATTTCCCAATTCCAAAAATATATAGTTTGTCTATATTTGGTTGAGCCGTCTCTAACATATTTAATTCTAAAAAAATTGAAAATACTGTCAGAGAAACCAAGTACCTCAAATTTAACCTGCAGCTTTCACCTGTATAGGTGTAATGGCTCACAAAATCAGTTGGTGGGATAGTATTTTTAAAATTTTTGGAGCCGAATATATAGAAGACTGCTCAACCAAATATAGACAAACCATATATCTTTGAAATTGGGGCATTCTGCTCTTGAAGAATATAGAACCAAATATAGGGCATCCCATTTGAAAAAAGCTGAAAGCATGCAAAATTTCACAATTTAGACATTCAATTTTTGTTCCTGACCATGGATTTTAAAAATTTAGCTAAAACTGTACAACTTTTGTATTTACACCTTTGTTCTACGTATAAAGGTAAAGGCTGTAGGTGAGGTGTCAATATATGAAAACACCCTGTATTGTCTGGCTAGCCAAACGGCGAACTGCAATAGAATTTGCTGCTTTGCCAAACTTGACGGAAACAATAATAAACAAGTTGGTGACATATTTTTTTATTTACGACTGACATATAATGTAAGTATTATATTTGTGATTTTGGCAGTATAATGCCATATATTATTCCCGCAGGAATAAATGGTCATTATTCCCGCTTGCACACCAATCACAAAATTTTCCAAATTAAATGAGTAGTACTACCATGGAAACAATATACCTGAACAAACTCAAAAGTGTCAGTCTCAAACGCGTAGTGCTTGTGTATTTGTAATGAGATGGATGAACAAAGAGTGTTTTTGGGATGGAAATTTCAAATAAATCAATTTGTCGTGAATAAAGTAGAGTATACTACTCGCAATAATGGCTATTATTCCCTCGGAATGTTATTCCCTCGCCGCTAACGCGGCTCAGTTCGTAAATATTCCTCGGGAATAATAGCTATCATTATTGACTCGTGGTATAATCTACTATTTTGCTATATGGGCATGTGTGGTATTTTCGAGGGTATTTTGAAACAGAAAAAAATCCGGCAACATTGCGGAATGATGGATGTGGAGAGGCGTGATTATTCAGAGGCATGATTCTATTGGTTAGAGCCTGAACGACAGCACAGTGGCGTGGTTATTGGCGAAACTTTTAAAAAAAAAATCTAATAATTTTATTGGTTCATTTCTGGTGTTTTCGGTGCCACTGAACCCAAAGACATGACTGTCATCAAGCGGTGTCAATTGGGGTGTCAGTGAATCAGTATTGCCAACTCGGTAGAATTTCCACTAGTTCTATAGCGGATTTGAAAGTCGCCTAGCGGAATGGTTCTAGCAAATTCGACTATAGTGGTAATTTTAATGGGATCCACGGTTTCTAGTGAATTTTTAGTGATATTTACCTTTCGTTGGTTTTTTGACTCCTTTTTAAAATTTCGCCACTAGAGCAAATACATAGTGCAAGCTCCTTATCGTTCGGGTACAGCCAGTAGAGTAGAGTAAAGTGAAAAGAGCTAACTAAACGTCAAACGACCATCACCTCGCGAGATCACATGACATGACAAACTGCTCTCAATCCGCTCCAACTCCGTTTTGACAAGTCGAACTCACCCATACCATACCATACTCTCAGATGATGGTTTTATGTTAACTGTCAACATTGTCACTTTCAAATTTGAAGTCAATTATTCATTCTACTTCAAAAATCAACATTACCAACACCTTGGGCCTGAACACTCAACACCGTCACCCAGGTCACCTACAGAACCAGTCGCTTTTTTTTACCCATATTTTAAGAGTTAGGTATCAAACAATAAAAAGATACAGAGAGGATCGCTAAAAATTTTAAAAAACAATGGAAAAAATTTAGAAGATATTCCACTAGCCCAAAAATGTTTCGCCTGCGGCGCTATTTTTTTCTCCTAGTGGGTTTTAGACAGTTTTAGTGAATTTAAATATCGTTTCTAGTGGAAGCTCTTGGTGTGGTTCAGAGTTGGCAACACTGCAGTGAATATTCTTAGGTTACGCCCCACTTTTCTTCCCCCTTTCGTCTCTATCAATTTAACTTACTACTTGCCAGTCTATACATAGTAGGTATGAGTGGTATGACCCAAAATAACTTGATCGTTTGAACTCTAAATATGCATTCTGCTTAAATTATTGTAATTATCAATAATTGAAACGAGCAGTTTTTGGAGATTTTGAACACTTACCTCCTACCCCACCAGGGGAGCCTTGTAGAGATGCCTTGCTTGAAAGTATTTTGAGGTTTAAAAACACACTTGTAACTGTTATAAAACACTTAATTTTCCTAGAGCACTTCTGAAACGTTGCACGCAGCCAGCTAGCTTGCTGCCGTTTTGCCAGTCTGGCACGAATATTTTCTGAAAGTTCAAGGTACTGAGAATCTGAATATCAAGTTTCAAACATATAGTGGCAATCTTCTTGTATAACAATGTTTTATAATATTATACGGCTCCCGCAGCTGGAAATTACTTCCCTCGGTTGTGGGTGTCCCGCCGACTCATAGGCAGGTGACTGGGAAAAATAAGTTTCATGAGACTTGTAAACTGTAGCAAGTTTCATGAAACTTTGTTTTATGTCAACGTACACAGTATAAAAAAAATATATTTTCATCAATACTTATTACCGTACTGTAATGGAAACTTCGATGACCTGTACCCAGTTGTAGCTCAAAAACGTTCCAGAAAAGCAGTAGTTCTTTGAGTATGGCACCACTTTTAGACTTCACGATAAGTATGGCATAATTTTTCCGAAACATACATATTTTCTTTTAAACTTTCGAAAAATTGAAAAGCCATACTGTTACAACAATTCGTTTCATTTTTTTTTTTTGGTCTCATCTTGGCGCAAGTGAAATCTTCAGCCCCATGCTATCAGTATGGGATAATTGTTTTCAGGTAGAATCGTATAGAAACAAACGGAATACATTGATGCCATATTATTGTAATAAATAATTTCAGATCTTGTACCAGTTGTAGCTGGAAGACTTTTCAGAAAACTAGTTTTTCAATTACCTATGGCACCACTTTCAGATTTCACGATAAGTATGGCATAATTTTTCCGAAGTATATTACCTTGTAATCTTTCAAGAAATTGAAATGCCATACTTTTACAATTCGTTTCGTTATTATTTTTTTGATCTCATCTTAGCGCTAGTACGTGTGACAGTCTTCAGCCCCATGGCATCTATGGGATTAGTGTTTTCAGGTAGGATCGTATAGAAACAAACTGAATACAATGATGCCAAACTGTTATAAATAATTCTAGATCTTGTACTTACCAGTTTGTAGCTGGACACGTTTCAGAAAATTAGTTTTTCAAGTATGGCACCACTTTTGCACTTAGTTATAAATACCTATGGCAAATATATGAACGGTCACATTGTATCATTATACCTTTCGAAAAAACAAATTCCATACTTACTGTTACAAATCGTTTCTCATTAATAAAGAAATCTACGTCTTTGGGGCGGTATGGCAACTACTTGGAACCATCGGAACGGTATGGCACGGACAGCGGAAGTAAAGATGATTTTTGGAAAATACCTAGTCCATTTATGTATAGTCTTTTTACCAAAAAATAGGTCGTGGATCTTGTTATTTGTTCAGCTTTAGGCGTTGATGTTTGATTGTGTTTTTCCAACGAGAACAGCCAGATTTGACTGTGGCTTACTTATAACCAGCTAAAAAAACTTGCCTCATCACATAGTTTACTTGCATGGAATTATTTCTGACTAACACTGGCGGCCCGTAACTTTTATTTTAAGGGCGACAGCCCACCAAAAAAAAAAAAAATTTCAAGTGCCACGCCCAAAAACGATTATTTTAAGCCTTCAAAAAAACAAAACTTGAAAAATCTTCTAAAATTATATGAAAATATATTTTGTAGCATTTTTACAGGGGAGCCACTGTCTCCCCTGACGAGCCGCCACTGCTGACTAACCTGTTGATTGCCATTTGGTCACTGAACATAGTTTAGCTTTCCGATTAAGATAATTTTTGGTTCTAAGTGTTTTTTTTTTCAAGCTGAAAACAATGAGAGATTAGTTATTTGTTTTACTAGGCAGAAAAGTACAAGATTTAATGCCGCGGCTGCATGGTGTTTCATAGCCGTTCAAATTCACACATGGATATCTTTTTTATATTTATTTCATTCATTATTATTATCCAAATAATTGAAGTATTTTGACAATTGTCATTGTCACCATCAATTTCAAATACCAAATTGAGTGAAATTATTACCTACACCATTTCCAATTCCAACCGGCAGTAAATGACATTTAATAACCTAAATTGTAAACAAACACCAGCCTTCCTATTGGTTGAAATGCCCTACCTGGACCAGTGTGCATGCAGGGAGGACATTTGATAGGTTGTAGTGAAAATGACCAGTTTGTCATTTACTGCTGCTTGGATTTGGAAATGGTGTAGAACGTTGTGACACTGTCACTTTTACTGCCTAGGCATTAAAAGTGACAGTTTCACAACGTTCCAGGTAATAATCTCAATTTGGTATTTGAAATTGATGGTGACAATGACAAATGTCAAAATAATTTAATTATTTGGATAATAGGCCGAGTTCGTTTTTGTCATCTTTTTCGTCGATTTGCTCCGAAATTTTGACAGGCACGTGATTTGTAAATTGAAACTGTCTTATCCAGTCACGTGCCTGTCAAAACTTCGGAGCGAATTGACGAAAAAGATGACAAAAACGAACTCGGCAATTATAATGAATGAAATAAATATAAAAAAGATGTTCATGTGTGAATTTGAACATTCGGAAAAAAAATTATATGTTTTACATGGCAGAAAAGTAGATTTAATGCCTCGGCTGGTTTCCTAGCCTCGGCTATGAAACACCAGCCGCGGCATTAAATCTTGTACTTTTCTGCCTAGTAAAACAAATAACTATTGAAAGACAATTTTGTGGAGTTTATACAAAATTTTATGCTTAGCATTCATCCTGATAAAGACTACATGGTATGGATTAGACCAGTGGTTCCCAAACTTTTTTCTTTTGCGCCCCCTTTCTGAAATCAAGAATTATACAAAAAAATTTTTTTTACTTACTGTAACTCGTCTGAACTGGACTTTGAAAGAGGAAGAATGGGCATGACAGTGGGCAGCGAGCGTGCGCTGTAGCAATGATCGCATGGCAAAGCTGCTTTGGCTTAGATATGCGCTGTTGCCGGATTATAGACATCTTTTTTTAAATTTTAACTGATTTTTTATTTTAAAGCTTAAAATTTGTATTAATTTTTTAGAAAACTTATGCACCCCTTAATGTTGCTTCACGCCCCCCAGTTTGGGAACCACTGGATTAGACTCAGCTGTTGTAAATATTTGTTTAATGTAGTTAACTGTTATTTTCTGAAACCTTTCAGGCAATTCTAAGCTTTTCTTGATACTAGTAAAATTTTGCTATGTAAAGTTCAGGCTTGGGTTTAGGTATACATAATTTCAACAAAATGTACAAAGAAATATTTATTTCAATAAATGCATCTGTTGAATTGTTACATAAAGTCATCAGAATCATTTCCATCATCATATTTATCCATATTGGTTGTACTCATAAGTGAATTGTAACCTCTCAGTTCGGCATCGTCTTTTCGTTTCTTTTCTTCTTCTTCTTCTTTCTTTTTCTGATCCCTTAACAATTTCTTTTTATCTTCCCTTTCGAGGCGGTCTCTCTTTTCCCTTTCGGCTCTAAAGTCTGGATGCTCCTCTCTTTTAGTTTTATTCAGCCTATTTACAATGTCATTTATCCTTTTGGCCACTTTAACTTTACGCACTTCTTTTTCTTTATGAAACCCTACTTGTCCCACTTCCATGCCTGCGGTTTTTTTTAAATTGGCCCACATGGTATAAACTACACCTACATCGTTCATTTTGTTTCCCATTATGCTATTGGCTTTTACAAGCTGGGCAGCATCTTCTATGACCGCTGAAGGCACATCATCTAGTGTTTGACCCTAGAATACCGGTACATTGATTCTCGCTTACTTTATGTAGAACATACTTACTGGTTTTAGTCTCAAATAAACGTGAGCTGATGAGACTTGATCAACGTGAAACCACACATCTTCGGGCCAACCCCATCTGATTAAATCTTCATCTAAAATAAAATTAAGATAGAAATCTTAACCGAACCAAACAATGTTAAAGACATTATAGTTATTTATACACTTACTTTCATGTTTGTCCACTCCCATAAAAATGAGAGCAGGAGGCGATACTATTGTACTTTCGAAATAAAATACCATTTTTGGTAGTATATATTTATAATATTAATCCTGGGACCTGTTATTTTAATTTAAAATTTTTAAATAAATTCAATTCCAACCTCAAATTGGTATGGGTCATTTGTTGTGACTTGTGACAGTGCAGTGATGCAGGGATGCGTTCGAAAACAAAGTTTTGATGTGAGAACCAGAGCCGCTTTCCAGTATGGGAGTGTGACGCCCGGAGCTACTCGGGGCGTTGAGCTCCCGAGCTGTACGTACGCGTCAACCTGTCAGCTGTCACATCCGTGGGTAGCTATTTATCTATTTATTTCTTGTTATATCTCAAGATTGAACATTTTAAAATATATAGTTTTCATTCTCTTTCATTTTTGATAAATAAAAAAACAAACTGCACAAACAAACAGATAATTATTTTTATTTTTAACCATATATGAAATGTTGTCATTACTGACTTTTCAAAAATTTGAAAATGTCACATTTCTGTCTTTTCATTTTCCTGCTCCATTACCTGTCCCAGGACGGGAAGTGAGGACGGAAAATTTTTTCCGACCTCATTTCCCGTCCACGGACGGAAAATGGAGCAGGGAAATATTTCCCGTTCTCATTTTCCTCTTCATTTGCCGACCTCATTTGGTTGCCCCAAAATTTTTTTTTTTCAAGAAATTATGGTTAAAAATAAAATAGTATACAACCCTCGACGGGAAACTTCATTGCTGTCTCGAGGTTCTCTCGACCAGTAATGAAGCATTTCCCGTCTCGGATTGTAATATACTATTAAAATTTGACATATTTGACACTAAGACATGCGTCTCACGCCATGATACTGGAACGTACAAATCTAGTGCGTGGCGCCCCCGAGGTGCTCTAGAGCGCGTCAGAGCGCCCCAATGTGCATACTGGAAAGCGGCTCAGGGATGGGCATTTACGAAAATAAAGGTTGTCTACATTCTGGTGTAAACAACGCGTAGACAATAGCCGCTTTCCCATTTCCAGCTGAGCCGCTTTCCAGTATGCACATTGGCGCGCTCTAGAGCACCTCAGGGGCGCCACGCACTAGATTTGTACCGTTCCAGTATCATGGCGTCAGACGCCTGTCTTAGTGTCAAATATGTCAAATTTTAAAAATAATTATCTGTTTGTTTGTGCAGTTTGTTTTTTTATTTATCAAAAATGAAAGAGAATCAAAACTATGTTTTTTAAAATGTTCAATCTTGAGATGTAACAAGAAATAAATTAATAAATAGCCACCCACGGATGTGACAGCTGACAGGTTGACGCATACGTACAGCTCGGGAGCTCAACGCCCCGAGTAGCTCCGGGCGTCACACTCCCATACTAGAAAACGGCTCTGACGCTTTTGAGCACGTAATCGAGCTTCTGCGCGCGCAAATGCTCCAAGCGCGTGTTTGTGTTCCAGCCGTACTACACTTCGAGAGCTGCTAACTTTTGCGTTTCAAACACAGAACACTGTGCTGCACCGTGCTTGAAGCACAGTGTTCTGTGTTTGAAACGCAAAAGTTAGCAGCTCTTGAAGCGCAGTACGGCTGGAACACGAACACGTGCTTGAAGTATTTGGGCGCGCAAAAGCTCGATTGCGTGCTCAAAAGTGTTAGCTGGAAAGCGGCTTATGTAATCTATGTAGACAACGTGTAAAATATAGCCGCTTTCCAGCTGTGTGCTTCAAGCACGGTGCATCACAGTGTTCTGTGTTTGAAACGCAAAAGTTAGCAGCTCTCGAAGCGCAGTACGGCTGGAACACGAATACGCGCATGAAGCATTTGCGCGCGCAAAAGCTCGATTGCGTGCTCAAAAGCGTCAGCTGGAAAGCGGCTTAGGGTCAAATTTATAGTCATTCCTTGAAGGCGTCCTCAAGGCTCCCTTACTGAAGGCTGCCTTAAGGAGTCCTCAGCTTCTTCGTTTTATAGTCGCTCCCTTCACTGAGACTCCCTTAAGGAAAGATTACATATGGCAACAGTGTAATCAAATGCTTTTTCGACAGAAAGGATAGGTTATATGACCTGTCAAGAACGGCGGCTGTCAAAAGTTAGCCAGGGCAGGCGAATGTTGAAGACAAAAGGCGTTTTCTCGCGGGGCGAATGGTTCGAACTACGATTTAAACCAATTTGTAGATGACGTCACTGTTTGTGAACCCGAGAAAATGGAAGGTTTGAACCACAGTCTTATGTTAATGGAGAACAAGCCATGAGTCTGGTTCGAACTTTTTTGAACCAGGTTCAATGTGACGTCACTGGTTCAACGCAAGAATGTACAGGTTCGAACCTAATTGAACCGGATCGAACCAGTTCCACCGCGAGAAAACAGCTAAAGTGCGCAAAAATATGGTGTAAAATGCCTGCATTTTGTTGTGTAGTGAAATGTAGTAAGTAGGGTAGAACGCGACAACCTTAAATTCTATAAAATACCATCGGAACTGAATCGAGAACGAGAACAACCTGATAAAGTTTAACAAAACGAATTATCAAAAATCAGAAGATAACGCTGGGTTAAATGCAATCAAACGTGAAGATTTACCCAAATAGGCTGTAGTTTGTTCAAGATATATGTATACCTATTAGTACTTATTATTAAATATTAATAATTTAGAGCAAATATTATTATTAAATGTATATTACTGACACGTGTTCGATTGTGTGACACAATCGAATTGTATACTCTGGCTGAATTTTTGTTGTTGGAATGCCCTATGCCCTCTAAAATCAGAAATGAGTGAAAAAGAAGTATCTTACCATTCTACTCCCACCAAGAAAAAGTATTGTTAATAAACTTAATGGAAAAATACAAATCTACTATTAAAAATAAAAAAACGCATCGGCAAAGGGAGGCTCAAGGTAGCTTTAGACCTACCTTGGACTTGAGGGATCCTTGAGGGTTCCTTAACCGACTATAAAACAGAATTTTATTTGAAGCATGCCTCAAGGTCTAAGGAAGCCTCAAGGAACGACTATAAATTCGGCCCTTATGTAGACAACGCGTAAAGTATTGGCGAAATTCCTATACCAAATAGATGGCGCTAAATTACGCGAAAAATAGCAATATGTCTGCCGAACTCAGTGAAAAACAAAGCCAGTTTTTTGAGGTTAGTTTTTATTAAATTGTGTTTTATGGTGTTTGTGTGATTTATGTAACAGAAACAATACATAAAATGAATAATTATCTGTAGAAAATTGAAAACTTCCAGAAACAATACCGGGGGCCAAATGCAAACTTGCTTTGTTGTTCACTGAGTTTTGAGTACCAAAGTTGATCATAGATGTCGCCTACTTCGGGGCCTTTCGCGAATACAATTTTTGACAGTTGACAGCCTTTAAGGTTATGTTTCTGTTTTTGCTTTGTTTTGTTTTTTGCTTTGTAAAGTTGATTAAACTGCAGATATGGACTAATTGAATAAAATATAAATTTAATGCAATGCAAAATTAAAAAAAAAAAACTCAAATTTCAGATTTTCTGTTGTCTACACTATAGTCTACATAGTTTACGTAAGTCTACATGGAAAAAAGTGGATGTAAACAATAAGTAGATAACGAGTAGACAAACCGCGTAAAGTAGATTTCATAGTCTACGGCACATCCCCGGTGAGAACTATTTGGTCGAATATATTTGAACCCAGAGCTGTCAGAAAAAAGTATCTTAGTTACTTTACAGTATCTTAGTTACTTTATAGTATCTAAGATACTGTATCTTAAATACTGTTCATTTTTGTCAAAAGTATCTAGTATCTTAGTTACTTTTCAGAAGGATCTGTAACTTGTATCTTAAAAAGTATCTTAGATACCGAAAAGTATCTGAGATACTTAAAAGTATCTTAGATACTGAAAAGTATCTAAGATACTGAAAAGTATCTTAGATACTGAAAAGTATCTTAGATACTGGAAAGTATCTTAGATACTGAAATTGACCTATCTAAGTTAATGAAAAGTATTAAATTTACCGTGAAAAAAGTTCTTTCAGACGTTCACCAAACCCCACACAACAAGATGGAACTGGTTCAAACTACTTCAAACAGAATCAAGCTTACGTTTTATGTATTATTCATTTGTACTCACCCACCGCTCTGTGGAGACAGTTTTACCGTCTAGCTCTAGACAAAGCAACAAGACTCTCTCTATACTAGCAAGGCAAAGCAAGCAAATAGTGTACTGCCTTTGGATAGGAATCAGATCAATTTTAATCATAAGGTAGCAGACAAGAAAACCAACACGATTATCGTCATAGTCATACCACTTATTTAGCTATGGTTTGTATAGAGTATAGACTTTCATAAGTGTCATAAAATATAAAACACAGATAACAAATACACACTAAGCTCTTAAAAATTTAGGTGTTTTGTTTTCTTTATTTATGCAATTATGCATTTTATTTTTGCTTGTGTTGTGTTGATTGATGCCATTTGAGTTTAAATACAGATTATACTTTTTTTTTTAATAAGTGCAGTTAGTATAAACTCATTTTGTGCAAAACCACATAATGGAAGATAAATAACTTGATAATTAGTGGACTGTATAATTAGGTGGACTGGATGATCGACTGGATAGGGAACTAAAACACACGCGCTTTTCACTGACACTATATTTACAACAATTTACACAATATTTACACTATTTACAATTACTACTACAAGATGACAAGAAGCCAGAGCTTGCTTAGATGCCCAACAGGGCAGAGCTAGATTATAAAATTTATTAAAATGTGAAAAGGTTTCTGGATGCTTGTTAACGTGGACAAGCTCCAAGCTACACTGCTGCAATGACAAAAAATGGCGCGCAATATATTGACAGACATGACAAAATAGACATGACGACAACGCTGCAGTGTTGCAAACTTTATATGTATAAAAATATTTTGCCATCAAAAAGAGATAGCATGATTGTTGGAACATGTTTCCAACATGCTGGGGGGCCTAGAGTTTCACATGAAACCAAGGTAAAATTTTCCAGCAAAAAAAAATAAAAAAATTAAAGAGAAAGTAAGCAACCCTTTTTTTAAAAAAAGGTATGATTTCAATGATGATCCAGTAAACGAAAACTTAACTAACAATTAAAGCTAAAAACATTTCTGGAACACATAGTATGACATTAT